AATTACACAATAGACAAATTCGTCCTTACTTATGACAATATCAGTTCGACATTTAAGAGAAACTCCATTGACAGTTGGATGCCATAAAGAAGGTCTTTCAGTTTCAACTTCCAAAGGAATATCTAAAGTAACCTCTAGCAATGAGCATGTGGGTATAACTAAATAGTCTCGAAAAGCCAATTTATACCGATCCTCTTGAGACCCATTTCGACGAATGAATTTGTATTTATGGAATGCATAATCCCCTAGGGTAAGCTCCAAACAATTATTATCCATTGATAAAATAATGTTTCTAACTGAGTCGATAATTTCCTCGTCTTCTATTTCAGTCATGAAGTTATTAGTGTACTTAAACAGCGGAAACTTCTTGGTATAAATATTGATAGACGCCACGCTATTACTTGCAGACATATTGATAATGTACTCCAATTCATATTCACACATAGGAAGGGACGAGACAAACTTTAAGAGGAGCTTGAGCAGCTCTGGTTTCCATTTCTTAATATATTCAAAATATTCAAAATAATTCGAATGAGCGACCACTGGAAATCTGACTCTTTGAAGTTCCTCTACTTGAAATACTTTTTGTACGATAATCCGATAATCCACTGTCATTAATCTCCAGTAAGGGTAAAAGTTATGATAATCGTAGGACTCTAACTCATCATCAACACATCGCTGCACTGCTTGATACAAAGGATGATTAGAAACTAATTCCTTTATATTTATATAGTCGTCCATGACTACACTCGCTTGATTTATTCTTCTGGAATAGCACTTTCTTCTCATTTCTTATATGCCCCTTGCTCATCAAACTTGAAACATATTATGCGTATTGCATACACCACTATTACCACATTTTTTGATAAGAGCCTGTATATAACAGCACTAGCAGAATAATCAGCCTAAAAAAAAAAAATGTGACGAAGTAACAGCCTCTTCTCACTCGGGGTATATACACAACTCAGGGTTATTACATGCAATACTCGTACATGTACTTGGAGTAGAGGATCATTCAAGCTAGCAGCCATAGTACAAACATTACAACTAGGTGCTAAGTTCATCCCTTAAACTCTTGAAATAAAAAACAAAAACGAAAAAAAAAGAATGATAAAAAAGAAAAAATAGACATAACAACTCAATAAGTCCAATCATTACAGAAACTACCCGAAAAAGAAAAGACCATCATAAATAACGCTAAGGAAGTTCTTTGGCGTAATATCAACTTACGTGACATTTTTCGAAAACGATTCAAACAGGGTTATTCCTTTAACTTCAGGTTCCATATTAAAAAGGACAGAACAAATAGACGGTCTCCGTCAGACCCGGCTCACCTGGAGCCACTCACTATTGGCAGAAAAAAGTCGAGATAACACCGCATATGAAACACATCACTTTAAAAAATCTCGGAGAAGTCCAAAACGAGCACGAATTGATTATTAAACCAGCAGACAAGAATTTAGGTCTCACTGTAATGAGCCTGTCCTAGCTCAGCAGGCACGTCTAAAACAAAGAGGATTACACAAAACTGGGACGCTACATAGTTAGAACATCACTTGCAAGATTACCGTATGGCAAATGCCAAAGTTACTTAGAGACTATGTCATAACATCCACTTACTTTACTAGCCAGTAAAAAAAATTCCTCCAACACGTGACGGAACAGGACTTCGCTAACCTCCCCAGCTTCTACCTTATACCAAAGGTATATAAGAAAGACCCTACCACTCGACCAAACACATCAAGCCATAAGTATGGCACGAGTAGGCTCTCGCAAGTTCTCTCAACTCATCTTAACGAATATGTTAAAGAATTCAGCAATATCATTCAGTATGCAAGAGACTTGATAGCCAAACTTAAAAGGTCAAGCTCCTGTGTGTACGAGAACGCTTCCCCCGTAACAAAAGCTCCACTGCACCAGAGAATCTAGTCGATATTAGTGAATGGAATGGGGAAGAATCATGCGGGAAGATTGCTTCATATTTAATTATAACAGGGGACTTTAAAAGTCCCTATGCGAACATCCCAACAAACGAAGGATGAGAAACTATTCGTAATCTCTACATAGAGATGGGTCAAGGCAACAAAGCAGAAACTTATTTCCATCTTACCAAGTTCGTAATGCAACACAACTATTTCAGCATTTGCAATGACAAAGTCTACAAACAAAGAAAAGGTACTGCTATGGGCACAAGTATGGCACCAGAGTATGCTAATATCTATCTTGCATACAACAAACAATCTTTTATACAGGACATCCAGCTGAACTGGCATCTATCTCGGTGGACCTGGCTGGTGAGTTCAGCAGATGCATTAGTGTAATCATCAAAGGACTAAATTTAGTCCTTATTACGAATATGACTCCCACCAATATTAGGATTGAAGAACGTCTTACATACAGTTCAGCACATAAAATTACGTAATGCAAAACTAAAATAGTCGACGCAAGATTTAAGAACAAAGAATTCCGAGGCATGAGCAGCAATTGCGATTTTCTACGATTTATCTGTAGAACATTTTAACAATTGTTGCAAAAACTGCTGTATTGAGATATAGCTCGATCAGTTAATCGTTATGTTTTTTGAGTTTAAAAATTATTTTATGCTCAAAAATAGGCATTTAAAGATTTAAAAAATTTTGAATTTTTTATCTTGTTGTCATGCTGTCTAAGAAAATCAATATCATCATATCAATTCAGGTATCTCTTATAGGCTCTGGCAAGACAATCTGGCGGCTTTATGTATTAAAAAATTTAAGTTAAGACTTCTTACAATTATGCAAAATGGGAAATTGGACAGAGTTTAAGGGAAAATTTTCTATTAAACCTCCCTTGACAAGTAACGAAATTGAAACTGCGAATAAGTGTTATGAGGATGCTAACGGAAACATGTGGTTGCAAAAACCAAATGCCGAATTTACAACTTATCACGGGAATGCAAACTGGTTTGGATGTTGGTCTGTTGCGTCTAAAGGAGATGAGATAACCCTTTCTTTGACAAGCGAATTCGATAGACTTTATGAGGGTAAAGGATACTTAAGGTACTTAATAGAGCATGGAATCAAGAAGACTGGTTCAAAAGTCAATGGAGAAGTCGTGTTTCTCAATGAGTATTGTAGTTTTGGAATATTGGGCGTTGACAACAACGAAGTTTATACTGTTGGTTACTTGAAAGAAGAAGACTACCTTAAGCTTGTTGATGATTCAGATCAGGAAGATGGTGAATTCACATTTACTATTAACAATATTCCTAAAGTTATTGACGATATTTCATTACTACCTGTTACTTTCAGGTATGATATTGCTCAAAAGATCAATGCGAGTACAGAGTTTAAAGGATTTCTAGTAATTGACAAGATTGTTAATTTGGAAATATATCACATGACGCGCCAGAATGAACAGGAACAACGCAAAGAAAGAGAAAATCAAATAGGCGAGTACAACAAAAAGTACGATCAGAAGATGAAAAAAGAATTACGCGAACTTGAAGTCAAGATTGCTAGTGAGCTGTATCAAAGAAAGTTGTTTCTTATTGCGGAGCATAATTCTGATGGCACCGTAGGGGAAAAGTCATCTAAAAATGAATGGATATTATCTGAGGACAAACAAAAACTCGTGTGGTCTGGCAAAAAATTTATAGCCGCACACCATTGGCTAGCATTCTTAATAAATGAATGTTTTGATGTGTCTGGTTCATTGAGGTGGATTAATGAGAAAAATGAGCTGGGAACACTAAAGGTTGAAAGTGTAGAGATGAGCTATGGTCGGAAAAATTTTTTATTTATTGAGTTTGAAGGCCAGAAGTATTTGGCGAATATTTCATGGTCATATTAGTTCCATATTTATTAAGCTTGAAATAGGTAATGGGTAAAAACATATGAGAGGATTCTTTTAGAAACCTATATGTTCTTTTACTTGAATCTGGTGCGTTAATATTGAACGTAATTTGCCCACTGAGACAACATGAACGTACAGACAAGGGATTAGGCGCTACCATCAGAAAGGTCAGCAAACTACTCAAATAGCGAAACAAAATTTTCTCTTGACGGTATATTATCATCCACTCTGGGAAAGCAAGAATGCCAGCCACTTAAGACAAAATCTTGAGAGGGCCTTTTCGAACTATATTCCTTTTAGTAAAGTAATGTACCCGAAATTACGGGTACGAATCTTGTTAGAATGTCTTAACCGAAACAATAAAAGCTTCTAAATGATAACCAAACAAGCAATATCTACAGAATAATTCCATTAGAGCAAGAATCGATCATTCAACTGAAATAAAACAAGAAATGGGAACCAACTCTACGTCTTCTCCAGTAATCAATGAAAAAGACATAATCGAAGCTAATGGGCTGCAAATTCAGGAATCGATACAGCAGGTACAGAGCCTTTTAAAAAAAATGAGTATTTAGCGGGCAATATTATCTCATTGAATTATCAATTAGAACTACGAGTAGCTCATTGAGAGAGCTAAAATTACCAGTAATGCCATAGATATCCACAAACTTGATTTCCAAACCATTCTCAATAATTTTGATTGTTTGAAAAGCTTTTGTATATGGACCACCATCTCTACAGCAACCAAGTATATATGAGCCAATCCTAATAAAACTCAATATCTAAGACTCTGAGTATTCCCTTTTTTTGTAAAAGTTTTTTCATCGTCGGAGTTGAATAAACTATTTAATTGAGCCAGAGAGGCCAAAAAAATATTGAATACTTATTTACAATTTTATCTGTTTTGCGTTAGATCGTATAGTAATAGAAAACTATTTCATTATGAAAATGGAGTTCGATATGGATAATACTATAGTGAGGGATAATCTTGCTAAGCACTGTTTTGCTTCTTGAAGTGGACATGCAAGGAGTATTATATCACCTCGTATTCAATTAGAGTGTATTTTTTTACAAAATTATAGTTGAAATCAACAACATAACAGTTAAAGTTAAAAAAATGAACCATATATTTAACAACGAGTTAGTCCCGCTACTATGCTTCGTATCTTTCGCCATGAATTTAGTGGCATCGACGTAGAGGCCATCTTCATCAACAAAAACGTGGGCATTAGCTGGAAGATATCCGGCAAATGATGTAGCACCAGGATCACCTTCTGTGTAGGCAGTGGCACCAGTTGGAAATAATTCAAAATTTTCTGAAACCCATGATACTTTAGATTCTTTATATGCTAAATCCTTGATTTGGCTCACGGCGATAAAGATACCAAAAGGTTCTACCTTTACATCAGCAGATTGGGGCAAAATTGCAGTAAGCGTTTGAGTAGAAAACGAGTGCGTAAAGTTGTCCCGACTTATATTACCGCCCACAGTAACTGTAGTGGTTTCATATATCATCCCTGACTTAGCGAAATAACTATGCAAAGTTAATTAAGTTAAGACCTTTATATGCGGCTCCCTTTGCCGATACGAGTGAAAAAAATTATCTACGATGTTTTAATTTGTGTAAAAATATATTACCCGCAGAAGCTATTTTCGACGCTTAGTTTGATCTCATGTATTCCGAGAGGCAGTTGGGACTAATATATCCCTTTCGATTCTTAAGGTCGTTCAACTTAGACTCCTTGAACTCTCTTTCTACCCTTTGTCTACCACTTTCGATTCTTCTTATGGTCTCTAAGCTATCTGAGTTAGCAGTAATCAATCCTTCACAGTAAAGATCAAACATTCTAGCATCGAGCGCATAGTTTTCTTTGATATTTTAAACGAATACAACAGCCAAACCAGTAACTTTATAAGCGCTTATTCCTAACCCTTTGTCAAAGGTATAATCATCAACTATATAATTGATTGGATCTGAATGTCTCCTAGGGGTTAATTTATTGAAGAGAGGCTCTCTGAAATCATATGAAAACTGTCTTTCATACTTAGAATTATATTCTTCAGGAGTATACTTTGGCCCAGGATTGATTTCATCGATTTCAAACCCCATCCCCCATAAGTTTCCAAATTTTTATCAGCAGTAATCAGTCCAAGAACATCTATTCTTTCCCGCATGAAGATCTTTACTATGAACGAACCTATTCAACCTTGTTACAGTAATTATTGAGATAAGACTGGAAAAAGAGGGCTGACTATTTTCAAGTGTGGTTAAAATACATTGATCGATATAAAATTGAATCATTCTATAATGAAATAAGAAATATTATAAAAAATACTTAAATCTTCAAGACAATTTCACCATATGGTTCAAAGTTTTTTTCATCTCTTAATATATGAGTGAATATTTTGGCCGGTAATGCCAAACAGAAAAAGGGATTGTTGCATGTCTTAATAGAAGTGTAAGTTCGACTCCGAAATATGGACACTCTGCATTACAAAAGCATGCACATAAACTAAATTAAAGCAAGTAGATACATGATCTCTATGCACGGCCACGCAATATTTGAGAAATATTTCCACAGACTCAGTTGTAATTTTCATCTTTTTACAATATTCAGAAAAAAGTAAGTAAATTATTAAGCCATCAACTACATCCAGCGTTCCCATTAACACTGCAACCAAGGTTTTGGTTAGCGAAATTACTACCGGAATGAGATACGGGCACATCCATATGTCTTGTCGTGCCCCAGCTAGTATAAGAATTACTCGAATGACAATCTGAAGAATAAACCGTCTTGACTCTCTCCTGCGTATCCATCCAAACCCACCTATTCTGAGCCCAAACAGACACAGCCCAGTCACCCTTATTAACGTTACACTGATGAGAGTATCCATAAGTAGTAGTGCGTGATACTGAATAAGAAACATGAGCGTTTAACCATGCAATTGCAAATGAAACATCTGCACCTGATTCCCAAGTAGAAGTTTTACTAAATTCGTAATTTAAAGTTATAGAGCCCCCATCGCCCAAACCATCATATAGGCAGTCAGTCACCTTTTGCCATCCCCCCCCATCAATTACCACGCTTGTAGACTCTCATCTCCTTAACTTTGGCTATATTACATTGCGGTTGGCATACCGCACCAACCCAAACGCACCTTTTGCCCAAGTCACCATTACTGTCATATGTATTATTTGAGCTTATAACGGTGCCATATACCGTTTCATTGTAATAGCTATAATTTGTTCCGAGAGGTAGCTCTGATATTAGCTGATTTACCTGATTCTCGTAAGAAGAAGGTACCTCAGGTGCAATATAATCCACATTCATATCCCTCGCATTTAAATCATTCATTGGATCGACAAAACTTGGATCTAATAATTTATCAATATCAACAACATTTATAAGAAGCCCTGAGCTCGCTATTAAATTGATAGCTAGAATGAGAAAAGCAATAGATGTATCAATCTAGGTGGCTTAGAAAGCTGTCTAGCAGAAGAAGTAACCTTAGTTCTGTTCTTGCGTTCTGAACTTAACTTACCGTAGTACAAAGGTCCGTAGCAGGTAAATAATAATGGTACAAACTCCGAATTTCAGCCGGAAAATTCGCATAAGCTCGTTCATTACAGTAAGCGTCATAGATGATGCAGCTCGAAGAATTACACTTTATCTTATCATACTGGTAGATATTGCTGTAATGCAAATAGATGTCAAATGAAAGAAAACAAAAGATGAAGAATAAATGTTGCATTAAATATGCTACCACAAAGCAATGCACTTCAACAGTAGGACTGATATAAATACACGCTATTTGTTATTGGAATGCGAACAAATGCCGTATGGCTCCCTTGCATGATACTACAGTAGTTTTCGTAAGGCTCACTCTATTGCATTTTTCAATGGCTTGTAAGAAATCTAAACGAGCAGGGTGGTAAATAGCGACAATATAAAGGTCTTCTGACAGCTGTGGGAGCATGTAATTGAGTAGTTGAAGTCAACTTCTTTGGCTCTCGTGCAGTCCCGCTTGGATCTTAAAACCGACTTTCCGATCCAATCAAAGTCCCGGACAAAGGTTGTATTTAAAATACATGGAAGTATACTGATATTTTAACATCAATATTTATAGAAAAATACCGAACGAACTGTAGCTATTCTATTGATACAACATCACTATTACCACATTTTTTGATAACACCCTGTATACAAAACCTAG